ATTAGAGGAAAAAAGAATAAACCAGTTGCCCCTTGGTTCCATTTCTTCATCTAATAAATACCTGTGACCCTCGATTTAAGGTTTTAGAACTATGATGATAGGCGTGAAACAGCACGTTCTTCCTTGGAATGCAGAGCCAGGTAAATGGAGGAGATCAAATAAAGCGAGTTCAGTTCAGTTTTGTAAATGCCACATTTTCTGTCCTTTGGTAAAAAAAAGAAGACAGTGGAAACAGGCTATTCGAATATAAGAAATCCATGTTTAAAAGGATCAGTTATTTAAAAAGAGAGAATAAGAAAATAAACATATGGATATTTCTCATACTTTCTACCCCCAGTCCAACCAACTTTTGAATGCAAAATTTTATTACTGTCCTGAATTATTCTGGACGCTTTCAATGGACTCCCAACACATAGACACAAGACTGGCTACATAATTAGCAGAATCAGTGCAAAATGAAAAATGCAAGGCCCCTACTCTGAAATGATTAAGAACATGAAGAGATGGTAGCAGCACTCAATAAACTCAGCATGAGAACTTTCTAAATGTAGAGCCCTCTGTAACTGAACAGGTTACACCCTTACAAAACCACTCCTGGATAGATATTGCTCCAAGAATCCAACTCTTCATCTGTGCCAAAAATTAGTTGAATGTTTTGATTTAAATATGGTTGCACAGAGAACAAACAAGATGGCGAATCAGGTAGACGTGCAGTGAGGAGTTCCATGTGCAACAATACAGAATACCAGACCAAGCAGGCTCAGGAGATGGTCCCAGAACTCAGAAGCACATATAAAGGAATATTTAGAAGGTTGGAAGGCTTACAGCTAGAGGAATTTGTAGCAGAAGCAAGAAATCCATTGCTTTCTAATTCAAGATGCTCAGCTGCTCCTGGAGCTGCCATCTTAGGTGAGAACAAGCAAAGGAATGACCAGAGCAGCCACGGACGCCTGACAGAACCACAGAGATAAAAGTGTAGACATTCTTTTTTGTATGTGTTCATTGGTCTCTTGCTGGCTGTGCACATCCATTCTGGTGGACACCCCATCCCCACCCCCAGAGGGCTCTAATACATATGCACACAGAACTCCTTAAAATTTAAAGGGGCAGTTTCCACTTAAAACCAAACGGCAATGCAAAACAGCCACAGCTGGCCCTGAAATGTTTATAACTAAGAAAAAGGCCTAAATGGGGACTGCGGAACAGGACAGGCAAACTAAGGAAATAGGCAAAATTTAAATCCTGAGTTACATTACAATGACCAACAGTGTCATCTTGACATTTCTCAGGAAGAAGAGTGAAAAGGGAAGCCCATCTCCTGATCACATCTACCTGGAGGCAATCAGAAAGCATAAAAAATATCAATGTAAACGTCCATCTAAGCATTAAGGCCACAGATAGTTTCTGAATATTGCCAAAAAACAGAAACAAATGACTGTAATAGTACATGTCCAGAAAAGAGAGAAAGTGACTGACACAAATGCACCGGAGGTAGACCTACACTCCACACTGGAAGGAGGGCAGGCTTTAGAAATGCCTGAGAAGGAATTCAGGAAAAATGATTATAAAATGTATCAAAACACTATATAATGGAGTTGAGAAAAATAAGGAAGAAGTCAGGAAAGCACTACAGGAACAATCAAATAAGATAGATACAGCATTGGAAACAATTCAAAACCTACAGAAAGAGGTCCAAATGATTAATAATA